AAAAAAAAAAAAAAAGGCTGGTCTGCTGTTGAGTCCACAGGAGCTTGGAATAATTGCATGTTCTTTTTTCAATTTTCATTTCCCAGAACTGGGCGCCCCCGGGCTGTGAGAAGTTAGGGAAGTGTCTGACGCCTCCAGAATCCATTCCCAAGAAGTGCCTCTGGTCCCACTAGCTTGTGTGGACCCAGGCCAGGCCTGGGATTTCCGGTTGGGCCTGCACGTGCCTGGAGGGAGGACAGTTCTGGCCTCGGTGCTTGCCCAAGCCAGATGGATGGCACCTGCAACCAGCAGGGGACTGCACAACTCCACCTGCCCAGGACCTGTCCCTGGGGTGTACTCGGGCCTCCTCGCCACAGCTCCTCTGATCTCAGGACCCTGCCGTCTCATGCCTCTGATCCCCAAATATCAGACAGGTCTCAGTTAATGTAGAAAGTTTGTTTTGCCAAGGTTGACAACATGTGCCTGTCACACATCGTCAGGAAGTCCTGACAACATGTGCCTGAAGGTGGTTGGGGGTACAGTTTGCCTTTATACATTCTAGAGACACGTAAGATCAGTATGTACAAGATGTCCATTAGTTTGGTCAGCCTTCCACTGAATACACAATGGAGTCTGGCTTAGTGAATCCGAATTTTTACATAAACTATGGGGTAGGGGAAGGAATCAGTATTTGTCTCAGGGGAGCCCCAGAGGGTGACTTCGAGTTCCATCTGTCCTTTGTCCACAAGGAATTTATGAAGTTTCTTATCATTGTAGCTGTCTTATTTAGAAATATAATGCAGGCAGGTTTGCCTGACCTAATTTCCAGCTTTTGTCTTGGCTTAGTGATTTTGGGGTCCTGAGATTTCCTTTCCTTTCACACCTTCCCAGTGGCTGCCAAGGATCATGCACCCAGCTCCGGCTGCCTCCTGGCTTTCTCCAAAATCCAGCGCTGCATGCCCAGCCGGAGGGCATCACCCACGGCTCCCATGCCAGCCCAACAGCCCAGGGCTGAAGGCGACAGGCCCAATTCTGTGTTGAACCCTTGCCAGTCCCCTCTTCCAGGAACCCCCACACCCCACACCTTCCCAGGCCCCCTTCGGGCCATCTGGAAACAGGATCATGAGCAAGGAGGGGGAAGCTGAGGTGCAGCTCACACATTTGGCCCAGTGGGGCTGCCTCATGTGGCACCTTCCACGGGGCCGTGAGGATGTCAGGGTCCTCCATTTCCACTTTCCTTAGGGGTCTGGAGCCCAGGCCCCTGGCCTTGCCAGCCTTGACCGCGCCAGCCCTGACCACAGCACACTGCAAGGAGGTAGCTGCCCCTACCACGCCCCTCGGCACCAGAGGAAGGGTCCCCCACCCGCCCTGGAAAGGGGGCCCCAGCAGCCACAGCAGTCTCCCGCCTCCCCCTCCGAAGGCTCCTGGGGACTGCCTTCCATTGAGTGGGTTTTCCCCTCTGTGCTGTAACTGCCAGGCCAAAGCTGAACTGTAAAGTTGAGAAATGTAAAGTTACAGAATGAGGAAAACAGCCTTAGAGCACAAGGCATTTTAGCTGTGGGGATTTTTCTTTGAAAGGAAATTGTGTTCTGGGGAGTTGTGCCTCGCGCAACTCCCTGGGTGCAGTCTTCCTCGGGCGGGCGGCCAGCGGGATTCACAGCTCCCCATCCTAAGGCTGGTAGGGCACCTGGCCTCTACAGGTGGACAGAGGGGCCTCTACCCTCGCGGATGCATCCCCTGGCCTAGCCACGCCTTCCGGCCTTTCTTCCCCGGTCCAGGAGGGAAAGACCCGCCTGCAACCGCAGGGCCCATCCGCGAGAGGCCAGCGCCCCGGGCCGGCGTTTCCGCCCTGGCTGTTCCCTCCCAGCCCTGCACCGCCCCGCTGCTCCTTGGACCCCTGCCTCACGCCTCATCCACCCCGCGCGCCAGCCTCCGCGTGCAGTGTGGGGATCTCCGGCAACAGCGCAGAAGGGGCGCGGCCCGTGCGCGCGCCAGGAGTGTGGGCGAGGCCAGCTCACGCCCACCTCGAGCTGCCGGGGCCCCGGCCCACAGCTGCCTAGCTGCAGTCAGAGGCGCCGCCCGAGACAGAGGCGCGCACCTCTGTCCGGTTCGAACGTTCTGCTCAGTGGTGCTTGGATCGCAAGCGCGTCTTAAAATCGACGGCGCCTAGGATTCCATTAAATACGGTAAGCGGTTCCTGCGAGGGACGCCCCACCCCGCGGAAGCCCCGCCCCGCCCCCACGAGGCTCCGCCCCTCGCGCAAGCCCCGCCCGTCCCAGCGCACGCGCGCTCCCTCCCCCGCCGGCGCGGAGCACGCGGGAATGGCGGACCCCGAGCTGCAGCTGGTGGCGCGGCGGATCCGCAGCTTCCCCGACTTCCCCACCCCGGGCGTGGTGTTCAGGTGCGACCGCACGCCGCCCTCGTGGCGCCCCGACCCGCGGGCCTGCGGATGGGCGCGCGTCGCCCGCGGCCCCGGGACTGCGGACTAGCGGGGCGGGTGGGGCGCGCGGGGCGGGAACCCTCGTCCTCCGCCCCCGGGGCCGCTGCTCTCCGCCGGCGCGGGCGTCACCAGGCCTGTCCTTGGGTCCAGGGACATCTCGCCCCTCCTGAAGGACCCCGCCTCCTTCCGCGCCGCCATCGGCCTCCTGGCGCGACACCTGAGGGCGACCCACGGGGGCCGCATCGACTACATCGCAGGCGAGTGCCCCGTGGCCGCGTCCGGGGCGCCTCCGCCTCCGCGCGCACCGAGGGCAGCACGTGGGCTCTGCACATCTGCTTAGGGGAGGGCTTTTGGGGTCCTTCAGGGGGCGCCGGGACGGGCACCGTGCTTGGGGTCGCCCCCGAAGGGTTGTGAGGTTGGCGCCCGAGGCCGCCGCGCCGCGCAGGCGCTCTGCCCACAGCTTCCAGGTCCCCAGCCCAGGACACGCGTGATCGAGACGCAGGGTCAGTTGGTCTCCCTGGGGTTTCCGGGCGGAATCCACGGAGCCCGCTGCCCTGGCTCTTGTTCTTTCTGCGAGCTGGTATTGAGCGTCCGCCACGTGTCGGGCCTTCGGAGGCGAAGATCACAGAATGCCCGCCCAGGGAAGGGAGGCCTGGAGGCCTCCGGGAGAGCTTGAGAGGTGGTCCCGGGAGAACAGAGTGTTCCTGTCGCTCTTGTCCCTTCTGGGACGCGAGAGCCCCCTCCTTACCTGCCAGGCTAGGGCACCGTTTCCCTGAGCGCCCCAGAGCATCACAGCTCAGGCCACCTTCAGAGACGCCCTTTTAGACAGAAGCCCTGGGGCAGAGCTGAGGCCTGGCGAGTTTCCACCAGCCCAATGGCAGATGGGCTGCTGAGCTCAGAGAGAGGGGAGGTGACTTCCCTGGGACCTCACAGCTAAAAAGGGGCCCATTAAAAGCTGGTCCCAGGTCTGCACTCTGACCTCGAAGCAGCTCCAGGTAGGTGATGGGTAACTCCTTAAATGGGGCACATCACGGGCCTTTCACCTGGAGCAACAAGGCCAGATGCCCCTGGGGACTCCCATGCTGCCGAGTCACTCCCCGCTCTCACCCTGACAGGTCTAGACTCCCGAGGCTTCCTGTTTGGCCCCTCCCTGGCCCAGGAGCTTGGCCTGGGCTGCGTGCTCATCCGAAAGCGAGGGAAGCTGCCAGGCCCCACTGTGTGGGCCTCCTATACGCTGGAATACGGAAAGGTAAGGGGGCTGGGGTGGCCAGAGGAAGGGCAGGGCCAGGCCGCTGTGCCCATTCTCCACCGAGTCCAGAAGGCCCTCCCAGGAGTGTCAGGTGGAGCCCCTGTGGTTACAGTAGCCTTGGGGCTCAGGTTGAGACATGGGTAGGCTCACACAGCCTGGAAACAGCAAGTTGGGGTTGGAGCTGGGGCCCAGGGTGGCAGCTGCCGAGATGTGCACACAAAGCTGTTTTCTGTGTGAGGCTGAGGCCCACATGCCACTTCCCACCCAGGCTGAGCTGGAAATCCAGAAAGACGCCCTGGAGCCAGGACAGAGGGTGGTTGTCGTGGATGATCTGCTGGCCACTGGTGGTGAGTGTCTCCCGAGGCTGACTGCTGTGGCCCTCAGGGTCCGGTGGGAGTGGGACAGGACCTCTCTGCGTGTCACGTGGGTGCAGCTTACTGGTGGCCAGGCCAGCAACTTCCTCTCTCCCTGCACCCTCCCCTCTCCCACCCCCAGGAACCATGCACGCTGCCTGTGAGCTGCTGGGCCGTCTGCAGGCCCAGGTCCTGGAGTGCGTGAGCCTGGTGGAGCTGACCTCGCTCAAAGGCAGGGAGAAGCTGGCACCCATCCCCTTCTTCTCCCTCCTGCAATACGAGTGACCTCGGGGCCTCCCAGCCCAGCCTCTCCAGCCGGAGCCCAGCCATGCTTCAGCCTTGGGCTGTGGAGATGACCTGCAGTCACCAGGGACCCCAGCTGCCCACGGGAACACATTCCTTAGCTCTGGTTCAGCACCTCTCCTGGGGCTGGAAGTGCCAAAGCCTGGGGCAAAGATCAACCACCCTGGGCCCAATCACACACACACAGGGAGAACACAAGTAAACAGTTTTGCCACGCGAGCCGGCTCCTGTTGTCTTGTTGCCTGGGGCAGAGCCCCAGGACGATGTTAGGCTCCGGCCTTCGGTGTGAAGCAGGCTGGCAGCTGTACTCAGATGGGCACATGCTGCTTGGCGTGGTACCCAGCAGAGACAGTCTGTTTGTGGTTCTCACCTCACAGGGAGCACGCCAGGGCTGCAGGTAACTAAGTCTGAGTGCAGGTACAAGCCACGAGGCAGCTGATACTGTGGGGCTCATCAGCTTCCGCACACCCAATGGCTGCCAGCACAACTTACTAGGGTTTTGGAGGACCGAGGTGAAGGTGTGGGCAGGCCAGTCCCTTCCTGAGGCTCCGGGACATCCTACTCACCTGCCCAGCTTCTCCAGGCGGCCAGTGTCAGGGCAGGGCTGCCTCTGGCCCTCTCAATAAGGACTCCTGTGACGACATGGGGCCCAGCTAGATGATTAAGGATCACTTCCCAAAATTCCTAATGACAAAAGCCACCCTTTGCTGTGGGAGGTCCCAGGATTAGAGGGTTTGGCTTCTTGCCACACTCCCCAGCCCCATATAGCCAGAGCCCTGATTGCCCCCCAGTGGGTGCTGGGGTCTGGCTTTTCTTCCCCAGCAGAAGCAAGGACAGAGGCGCTCACAGAAACCAGTTTAATGTGAATACACGACAGGACCTCTATGAGTGGCTGCCACCCACAGCTACAGGAGCCCTGGGCACTCGGGAAAGAAAGAGCAAAGGACAATGCTGGTGGGCCCAGGCCAGCGAGCCTGAAGCCCGTGTCTGTCCACAGTGGCCACGGGGCTCACAGCCCCTCCTCGGCGTGGGCCTGGCGGACTAGGCGTGCGGTGACGCTGGCCAGGTCTGCGGTCTTGTCCAGCTTGATGTAGGTGTCCGTGCGGATGCGGTGGAGGCTGAGCCAGTCCGGCAGGAGCTCGGCGAGGAGCAGTAGGTGCTTCTCCATCTCCCCTGTGAGAGGAGAGGGTGCTGAGGCGGGTGCTGGGCCCCCCACACCCGACCACAGGCAGTGCAAGACCAGCCCCACCACCCTGACCTGACCTCTGTGCCTGCCATTGAGGCCCCAAGAGGGGGTACCAAGCACAGGGGCTGCCAGCCCATGAATGTTGAGGCAGGGAGTGCCCTGCAGCTTTGGGACCCCCATGTGCTCAGGGACGGGTGGCCAGAGGCCTGGGGGGGTGGAGGGTGCACGTGGGACCCCTTCCGTCCAACGACTGCGGGCAGTCAGGGAAGCTGCCACAGAGGCTGCAGGTGTGGAGGGCCTGGGCAAGAGCTCAGGGGTGACCCGGAGAGGAGCACAGCACCCCAACACACACCAGCAGGCATGCAGAGGCTTAGGGGTGGCCCCCAGGCAGGCAGAGTGCCCGACACACACTAGTGCGGGCGGCTAGCACCTGCTGCGCATCTGAACAGAACAGCGTGAGACACCGTAGTCAGAAACTTGGGGGCGCCCCTCACCCTGCCCTACACGTACCGGGGCTCATGGCAGTGCAACAGCTGTCCACCATCCTGGCGCAGGCCACCTCCATGCTGAGCGCAGGCTTGCGCTCAGACACAAAGACGCTGCGCAGCACGCGGGCCAGCTCAGGCAGCCGCTCCAGGCGTTGCAGCTGCTGCTCCTGCTCCGGGCGCCGCGTCATCTGCGCCAGCTGCTTCTGTGCCTCCTTGGCTCGGACCTGAAGCAGGTACAGGGAGCTGGTCAGTGGGCAGCAGGTCACCGGGCCCCCACCCGCCACCCGCGGTGACTCACCCGCTCCAGCAGATCCTGGGGCACCCCCTTCAGGGCGCTGGGGGAGGCAGCAGGTGGGGTGGCTGGTGGGGTAGCCAGCAGTGCTGGCTTCGGGGACACCAGGCTGGGGGAGCGGGTGCTGCTGGGCTCCGCAGAGCGCAGGGCTAGCTGACGCAAGGCCTTCTCCATCTGCGGGAGGAACAGGTTGGAGGGGAGAGGTGCCCCTGGCTCTGCCCAGGAGCGTCCAGTATCAAGGCCTCGGTTTGCCCAGCACGCTGGGTGGTCTGTGCTGGTCAATGCAGGGTCCTAGCATGCTACGTCACCTGCCGAGGGCCAATCCCCCACATAGGGCGGATGACAGAGCCCCACTTGGAGGCTGCAGCTGGGGACAGACAGCAAATGCCAACTCTCGACCTCCCCAGCAGAAGAGGAAGCCAGATGAGGCACCGCTTCTTGCTTCTTACGCCTGGGGTCCGGTTGGCCCACCCACCCGAAAGAGGGGTGGCCGGAGCCTGGCAGCCTTACCCTTGGTGACATAAGGCTGCAGGCCCGGGCCAGGACCTCCTGCGCGGTGCTGACTTTCTCCGTGGCGGGCGGCTGGGGCAGCACGGCCGGCTCAATGTCGGGCACCTCATCCACATTGAAGCGTGGGTGCCATCGCGTCAGCTGGTCCTCTGGCACCACCATGGGGGGGTTCAGGGAGGCCAAGAAGGACTATGGAGAAGGAATAGGTAGGTGACCCTGGGCACATCTGAGACCAGGGCAGGGGCATGAGGGTGGGGCTGCCTATGGTCACGTCCCATCTGGGCCACCCTGGGCAAGTCACTGAGCCTCTCTGCTCAGCGCTCAGCTAGAAGGAGACCACACGGCCTCCCACGGTCAGCACTCACCAAATGCCTTGAGGACCTCATGCCTGTGGCTGTACCCTGAGCACCCCAGCCTGGCTCCACCCCAGGAGAGGCTGAGGGTGGTGGGGACACTCTGAGCACAGGGTTAGGGGCTGAGGCAGTGCTGGCACCGCCTTCCCACGGCAGGACCCGGGCCACTCACCCTGTGGTGCTGCTTCACGAGCTCCACCAGCTTCTGGCCGAAGACCTGCCGCCGCTGCAGGAGGTGCGAGGCCGTGAGCTTGGGGGCTGCTCCACCGCCCTCTGTTGGGTGAGTCCAGGCTTGAGCCCCAGCCAGGCTGCCCCGCCACCCACCTATGACCACAGTCCTGGGCGAGGTGCCCAGTGCCTCACCACCCTCAAAAGTGTGCAGGTCACAGGGAAACCGAGGCCCCACAGCCAGCACTCACCCTGCTCCAGCAGTGGCTCAATGGTGAGCTGGTAATCAGACCTCTTCATGCCATCCTTGAAGGTAGGGACGCCGCGCTCCTGGCGGAAGCGGTAGGAGGCCGGGTACACGGTTTTGATCTGGCCGAGATTGCGCTCCTCAAAGCACCTACGGGAGGAGGGACCGGGTCAGGAGGGAGCAGGCCCAGAGCTCACCCCGACTCCAGGGCAGCCAAGCCCAGCCCAAGGCCACTCACCTGTGCATCATGTCCTGGACGCCCCGCTGGACCTTGGCGAAGGTGGGCGTCTCGGAGCGGTTGTGGAGCATGCCCACGATGGTGTCCGTGCTGCGGAACATCTCCGCCAGCACCTGGTACTTATACGGTAGCACCAGCCCCGGTGGGCCGGGCTGGGCCAGGGCATGGAAGCGCTGGTAGGCCGGCGCCTTCTCGCCACTGTCAGGGAGGGAGGAGCCTCATGAGAAGCACCACAGCAGGCCCCTCTGCCAGGGAGACTCTCTGCTGGGGCCTAGCACACACAATGGCTTTTGTGGCCCTTGCATGCCCACCAGCCCTGGCACCATTGGGGGTAGCACTGGTGACAGGAAAGGGCAGCTGCACACCCCAGCTCTGCCGTGTCCACATGGCGCCCCCAGGGAAGCTCTGTCCTCTCCGGCCCGGTTTCCTCGGCTCTCAGGGGCAGGGGCAGACCCCACCAAGATGCATTAGGAGCATTTGAAACCCACCAGAGCCCCCGAGGCAGGAGCTGCCCCCCACAGGAGGGAGTGAGGGCACAGGGCCAGTGGCACCCAGGACCTTTTCCTCAGGGGTCTGACTCCATGTCCTGCTGACCCCACCACCTCCCTCCCTGGAAGGAGCAGATCAGCCTCTGCCAGGCCTGCCTGGCCACGCCTCCCAGCAGCCCAGCTTTTCCAGGGGCCTCCTGGCCACCTGCCAGCACTCACCATGGCTCCGCAGGGCTGCCCTCCGCCTCCGGGGTGCGGGGCTCCCCAGCATCCTGGGCACTGGCCTTCAGCGCCCGGACTCTTTCCCCCAACTGCTGGGCCCGTTGCAGGCACGATCGGAGCTCAGAGATGGTGTCCTTCAGGGGGATATGGGGACAGGGTCGGTCAGGCCAGGCGGCACCACTCGGCAGCACTCAGCCTGGCCTCTGCCCCAGGCCCCGCGCCTCACCTGGTGCCGCCGGGCTGCCGGGTGGGGCGGCTGACCTGCTGCCGGGGCGGATGTCTTTATCTTCTGGCACAGAGAAGGGCCGGCTGGGGACCCAGGGGCCTCGGGGGAGTCAGGAGCTTCCCTGGGGCTCCCTGGGGAACTGGGGCTGGAAACCTGGTGGGAGGAAACCCAAAGATGAACCCATGACAAGACCTGGTTCTCCTGGTTCTGCAGAGGACCCCGCAGGACCAGCAGCCTCTGAGTTAACGGCATGGGCATAGCGGAAGGCGGAGGGCGGAGGGCGGGGGTCAGGGCTGCCCGGTGGCACAGGTATGCGCGAAAGCCGGAGACAGCCCCGCTCCTGCCTCCGGGGCAGTTTCCAGGGCGAGCCCCTCCCCTAGCCCCGCGGAGAAGCTGCGACTCCAGCCGCGTGATCAGAGCCCGGTGCCAGCCCCACGGTGCCTCCTCCCCATCACAGGCGCCCGCAGGGTCCCCCCGCAACCTGGCCCAGAGTTCCCCCGTGCCCGCCCCCCGGCCCCAGATTCCCCGCGCCCCTCCCCCTCCTGCCTCAGTTTCTCCGCCCCAGTCCCCCGGCCTCAGTTTCCCCGAGCCCCGCCCCCAATCCCCCGGCCTCAGTCGCACCGCGTCCGCAGACAGCCGCAGCCTCCTGCGCGCGGGCGGCCTGGCCTGGTCGCGTCCGGGGGCGGCGGAGGGGCGGGCGCGCTTGCGGCTGCCGCTAGTGGCGGGGTCCAGGGCGCAGGGTGCGGGGCTGGGGGTGCGGCAAGCCAGCTTCGGCGGCGCGATTCGGGGCCCGGGGCGGCGGCGCGCGAAGAAGTCGGTGACGCGGCGCTGCTCCATGGCGGCGGAGTGCGCGGCGAGAGCGGGGAAAGCAAGGAAGAAAGAAGGGAGGAAGAGGCGGGCGCGGTTCCCGCCAAATTTCCCGCGGGCACCCTGGCCCCGCCCCCGGCGCGGACCGAACCAAGGAGGCCGAGCCGGGGGGGGCGGGGCGGTGACGGCAGGGGACGCGCATGCGCGCTGGCAGGCGCGGGAACCGGTTTGGCTGCGCGCATGCGCCGACGTGCGGCTGTGGATGCGCCCGCGGGTGCCGTTGCGCGTGGGACTTTGGCGCGGTCTCCGAACCCCGCATGTGGCTAGCACTTATCAGCGCGTGTCGGTGGGGCCGCTGGCTTCAGGGTCAACGTGAGCGCAGTTCAGCGCGCCGAATGCGCCGCCGCCGCCGGGCCGCGCGGCCCTTCCTGTCCGAAAGTTAGTTCTCGCAGCGGCGGCGGCGTCTGTGTGGTCCAGGCTGGTCTCGAACTCCCGGCCTCAGCGGCGCGCCCGCCTGGAACTGCCGCCCCCCAAAGCGCTGCGTGGCCTGCGTGCCCGCGTGGCTCGCTTTTTCAGAGGGTGGATTTGGTGTGTGGATCATTTCCCAGTCAATCTAATACGTAAGAGTGAAGAAGAGGAAGGGAAAACTGCCGTTAACATGGCTGAGATTTTAAAGCTTTGGTCCTGGAAACCTAAGGCGCTTCTGTCCGGGAAACGGCCTCCCAGAGCTGCCGAAATCCGCAGGCAGAGCAGTGCGGGCCGCGGGGCCTGGTGGCCTGGAGGCGTGGGAGCGAAGGGGACGCGGGTGGCGGAGGCCAGGGCTGAGAGGAGGACTTCTGTTTCCCCATTTTCCAAGTTTTCTGTAAAAAAGCACCAATTGTGCCTTTATTTTTTATTTTTATTTTTTTGGTAAAGGAACAGAAACCGGTTTGGTGATTCAATTGGTGCTTGCAAAATGCCTCAGAAGTGGCCTGTGCAGTGTCTCACGACTGTAATCCCAGCACTTTGGGAGGCCGGGGCGGATCACGAGGTCAAGTGTTCGAGACCAGCCTGGCCAACGTGGTGAAACCCCATCTCTACTAAAATACAAAAATTGGCTGCGTGTGGTGGCGCACACCTGTAATCCCAGCTACTCGGGAGGCGGAGGCAAGAAAATTGCTTGAACCAGGGAGGCACAGGTTGCAGTGAGCCGAGATTGCTCCACTGCACTCCAGTCTGGGCAACAGGGCAAGACTCCGTCTGAAAAAAGAAAAAGAAAGAATGCAAAAACACCCTCAGCAGTAAGGTGGCTCATAAAGTGGGGGCGAGGCAAGGAGTTTGTTTTCCATCTGTATTTAGGTGATCAGCGCCTAGACCTGTGTTTTGCAAGCACCTGGTAGCAAATTTTTATTGGGTCAAGAAATAAGTGTAGAAAACTGAGACTCACATTTTTTTAAGGCTATGTTTTGTTAAAAAGTTTTGTTTTAGTACTCGTGCTCTGGGCCAACATGCAAAATACGTTTGTTTTGTTTTGTTTGTTTTGTTTATCACCCAGGCTGGAGTGCAGTTGCACGGTCATAACTCACTGCAGCCACCATTCCCGGGCTCAAGGGGTCCTTCTGCCGTGGCCTCCCAAGTCGCTGGGGGCTGCAGGTGTGAGCCACCATGTATGGCTAATTCTTTGTTTTTTGTAGAGACAGCATCTTGCTGTGTTGCCCAGGCTGGTCTTGAACTCCTGGACTAAAGCAGTCCTCCTCCCTCAGTCTCCCAAGTAGCTGGAGCTACAGGCGTGATCCACCACACCTGGCCTATCATGTATTCCTTCAGTCAAAACTGGTTGCAGGTTGGGGCAGGAATTGACCTGTACGGAGCGTGAGGGAATTTTCTAGGGTGACAGAAATGGTCTATGTTATGACACAGGTTTGGGCAATATAGGTGCATGAATTTATCACAATCCAAGGGTACATTAGATTTGTGTGTTTCATGGAATGAGGCTGACCTCTAGTCAGTGACATGCATGGAGGAGTGTTCAGGGATGGCAGGTGCCTGACACTCTGAAGTACCTCAAATAAGATGGATAGAAATGTGGTAAGAGCAGGCCAGGCACGGTGGCTCGTGCCTGTAAATCCCAACAATTTGGGAGGTGCAGACGGATAGATAGTCTGAGCTGAGGAGTTCAAGACCAGCCTGACCAACATGGCAAAACCCCATCTCTGGTAAAAAATACAAGAATTAGCCAGGCGTAGTGGCATGCATTTGTAATCCGAGCTACTTGGGGAGCTGAGGCAGGAGAATTGGTTGAACCTGGGATGCGGGGGTTGTAATGAGCTGAGGTCATGCCACTGCACTCCAGCCTGGGAGACAGAGTGAGATCATCTCAAAAAAAAAAAAAAAAAGCCAGGCGCCATGGCTCACGCCTGTAATCCCAGCCCTTTGGAGGCCGAGGCAGGCAGATCACGAGGTCAGGAGATGGAGACCATTCTGGCCAACATGTTGAAAACTTGTCTCTACGAAAATACAAAAAATTAGCCGGGTATGGTGGTGGGCGCCTGTAATCCCAGCTGCTCAGGAGGCTAAGGCAGGAGAATTGCTTGAACCTGGGGGGCGGAGGTTGCAGTGGGCAGAGATCACGCCACTGCTCTCCAGCCTGGGCAACACACTGACACTCCGTCTCAAAATAAAAAAAAAAGAAAGAAAAAAACAGTGCGGAACGTTAAGATAGAGTCTCAAGGGGTAAGTAAATGAGATTATTTCAGCTTATCTGGATGTTGGAAATTTTTTAAACTAGAATGCCTTGAAAGGGTGTATTTCTCATTGCGGGTTTTGGACAAAGGAGTTTGAAGGACCTGGGACCAGACAGCCTCCAGTAGGGCAGTTAGCTCATGAAGCACCTTTGTGAGAAACGGCCTGACTGGCGGTGTCAGATTGGTCTCAGCCCCCTGCCGCCCCCTTGGCCAGGAGCCTTGTGCATGCCGGAGCTTGCACAGCTCTGCGCGGCGGCCCCAGATCTTGAGTCTCTTCAGCTGTGATGTTCCATTCTGTTAATCAAAGATGGGGATCCTGGCTTTTCTCAAAGTGGGCAGAAAGTGATCTGGGAGGCATAATGGAACACAAGCCAAATGGAAGGCTGCTATGTATGAAAGAAGGAAAACGTGTAAAGTTTTACAGCTGTAATGGGAGCATAAATTATAGATACAGCCTCTCCTTCGAGCCAGCTGCAGTAAGGGGGCCTTGTAAATCCTTTGCATCATAACCGTTTATCAGGTGGGAGGGAGCTGTCGCCTCCCCTGCTGACTTGGTGGCTTCCCACTCTCTTTCCCACATTGAGAGGATAAATAAACAGCTGGTCTCAGAGAGGCATTAGCCACGCCTTACCGAAAGCAACTGCTCCGTGATCTGGCTCCCAGGGCAACTGTGCGGCGTGTCCCTGCCTTCCATAGATAAGCCGATGGGCAGGACGCTGCCACAGGCCTCCCCAGAGCCTTCAAAACGCCAAGCCCACTACAGCATCTCAGCTCTCCTGCCACCCAGCAGCCTGAACCACGGGGCACTGCACTGGGCTCCTGGAGCTGTGTCGGGGGCCCAAGTTAAGCCCATGGTCATGAGAAACCCCCAGAGGCCACCTCAGGACAGGGGCCTCCTTCCTGCCTGGCCACCACCTGGCTGCCTGAGGTCGGCACAGCAGCACCTGTTGCCGCTGTCCTCAAGGGGCAGCTCCCAAGCCTCCTGGGAGGGAAGGGGCCATGGCAGTACTGCTGTCATCGTGGCCAGCCGTGCGGCTCCACCCAGGGCAGAGGCAGGCTCTGGAATGAGCTGGACCCGGAAGTAGAGTGCACGGGGGCTGCTAAGAGTTCAGGCATGAATGTAGCTTGGGGCTGGCCTGCGTGGGGAGAGGGGCCAGGCTGCAGAAGTGTCGGGAGCTGGGAGGCTGAGGGTGGGGCTGGTGTGCACCGCTCATGCCCAGCAGGTGGGAAGGGGCACCCAGGGCAGCAGGGGCCAGGCCCGGCCTGAGTGCAATGGCCCATGTCCATCATGGTGGCTCAGGGACCAGCCATGGTAACTGTTCAGTATTCTCAATGTCACCTTTGGGGAGTAGGCCATTCAGGATGACTTGAGCTTTGTGGGGGTTCTCTGAAAATTGCCTTGCTCACCTGCAGTGATGGAGTTCATTCAGCCGTGCATTTGTGCTGTGTAGTCCCACCTCCCAGTCACAGCTGATTGGGTGAGAGGTGCACAGCTGAGCCAATCAGATTCTGTCCTGGGACTGGAGACTCAAGTAGAATAACCTGTCTGCTGCCCGTCACGTCACCGTGGTGTGAAGACAGAGCCAGCGGGACCCAGCAGCCAGCCCACATGGCTTTAAATAGTTTCCAGTTTGGTCTCTTGGGAGGCCTGCCAACCCTCCATGCTGCCCTGGATTTTAATGAAGGAGGCTATTCTTCCCATGTGTTTGCCTCTTTTGCCTGAAGTGCCCCTGAGTGGGTTTCTAGCTCTTCTAACCCAAGGTGCTGTAGTTGAAGCGTGGTCACAAGGGTGGATCCATATGAAGCTGCATCAGTAGAAATACAGAGTCTGGGCTGGGTGCAGTGGCTCACGCCTGTAATCCCAGGAGTTCAAGACCATCCCGGCCAATGTGGTGAAACCCCATCTCTACTAAAAATACAAAAATTAGCCATGCGTGGTGGTTTGTGCCGGTAATCCCAGCTACTTGGGAGGCTGAGGCAGGAGAATTGCTTGAATCAGGGAGGCGGAGGTTGCAGTGAGCCAAGGTTACACCACTGCAGTCCAGCCTGGGTGACAGAGCAAAGCCCCGTCTCAAAAAAAAAAAAAGGGAGGTGAACGCCCTTTTCTGCTCTGTTCCATCCAGGCCTCACCAGACGGGCCATGCTGTCTTATGGGTGTGGGGTGCTTAGAGGACTTAACCTGCTGTAGTGCCTTCAGGAGGGAGAGCCACGATGGCCACGGTGCCACAGCCCCGGTCCTTGGACGTTTACCCTGGAGAAACCTGGAGGCCAGGGTCTGTGCCTCCACCATCTGATCAGCCAGTATTCAC